AGTTCTTTACTCCATTTCCTGTACTGTACTTTATATCCCTCTGGCTATTCTGTGACTACCAACTTGTACATCTTTTTTTATTTTTTAAAGGTTTTATTTATTTATTTTAGAGAGGGCAGAGGAGGGAGAAAAAGAAACATCAGTGTGTGGTTGCCTCTGGCATGCCCCCCTAACCAGGACCTGGCCTGCAACCCAGGCATGTTTCCTAGACTGGGAATCCAACCAATGACCCTTTGATTCACAGGCTGGCACTCAGTCCACTGAGCCACACCAGCTAGGGCCCAATATGTACTTCTTAATCCCCTCACCTCTTCACCCATTCCCCCCAACACCCACCTGTCTGGCAACTATCAAAACAATCTTCGTATCCATTAGTCTCTTTCTGTTCTTCTTTGTTTAGTTTATTAGATCCAGTTGCTGATAGGTATGTTGTTTATTGCCATTGTATTGTTCATAGTTTACCTTCTTTTTCTTGAATAAGTCCCTTTAACATTTCATATAATAATGGTTTGGTAATGATTAACTCCTTTATTTTTTTCTTGTCTGGGAAGCTTCTTATCTACCCTTTGATTCTAAGTGATAGCTTTGCTGTATAGAGCAGTCTTGCCTTTTCATGACTTTGAATATTTCTTGCCAGTCCTTGTAGTCTGCAGTGACTCTTGAGAAATCACCCGATAGTCTGATGGGAACTACCCTATAGGTCACTAACTGCTTTTCTTTTGCTGCTTTTAAGATTCTCTTTAACCTTTGGCATTTTAATTATGATGTATCTTAATTTGGGCCTGTTTGCATCCATCTTATTTGGGACTCTCTCTTCTTCCTGGACTTGCATGTCTATTTCATTCAACAAATGAGGGAAGTTTTCTTTCATTATTTTTTCAAGTAGATTTCCAATTTGTTGCTCTTTCTCTTCTCGGTCTGACACCCCTATGATGCAAATGTTGGAACTCTTAAAGTTGTTCCAGAGATTTCTTATACTATCCTTGCTTTTTTTCTTGTTCTTATTGGTTGCTTTTGTTCCCTTATGTTCCATATTGTTGCTTTGATTCTCAGCTTCATCCATTCTTCTTCTGATGCCCTGTAAATTGTTCATTTCAATTAGTGTATCCTTCATTTCTGACTGTATCAGTTTTTATGCTGTTGAGGTCCTCACTAAGTTCCTTGAGCATCCTTATAACCAGTGTTTTGAATTGTGCATCTGCTAATTTGCTCATTTTCATTTTGTTCTTTTTTCTGGAGTTTTGATCTGTTCTTTCATTTGGGTCATGTTTGTCTCTTTATTTTGGCAGCATCTCTGTGTTTGTTTCTGTGTATTAGGTAGAGCTGCTGTGACTCTTGTGTCTTGATAGCATGGCCTAATGCAGTAGGTGTCCTGTAGGGTCCAGTGGCACAGCCTCCCCTATCACCCAAGCTGGGAATTCGAAGTGTGCCATTTGTGTGGTCTGAGTACACCCTCCTCTTGTGACCGAGCCTGGCTTGCCGTTGGCAGGTCAGTGGGAGGGATTTCCTCAGGTCAGTCAGCTGCAAGGACTGGCTGTGACCACTGACCACCAATCTCTGCCCTCCATGGAAGATCAGCTGTGCAGGGGCAGGGTGGTGGTGCTCCCATGTGGTCTGCAGCTGTCCACTGGGCCCACAGGCTCTGAGGTTCTTCGAGTGGTCCAGGCCAGGGTCAGTCACAGCCTGGGTTCTGCCCAGAGCCCCCCATCACAAGCTACAGAGCAGTCTGCAGATAGCTGCTATTTGTAATGAGCTTGGAGGTGCTCAGGTGACGCCAAACTGATCCATAGTTGGCTGCTAATAGTGCTGGGCTGGAGGACACTTAGCCAGAGGTACAGGGATTGGGCACTGGCTGAGGCTGGTTGTTGCTTGTTTGAGTGAATTTAGAAAAATGTGAAGTTGAGTGGAGACTAGCCATTCATGTGGAAAAACCACTGTTAACAGCTTACCTGGGTCATAAGTTGGGTGGGTCAGAGTTTCAGGGATTCTCCAGGGCAGAGCAAACCATGTGAGCCAGGTTGGTGAATTCTCAGATATGGCCTCTGCCTGCCAGTTCTCAAGGTTTGTGCAGGGAAGGCTCAGAAAAGGAACAATGGCCTCTACCTGACTTTCTTTCTGGGAGGAAGCTGTCCCCCAGCTCTCACCTTAATGCCAGGCACTTCATTTCCTCCGTGTGCGCCGCTAGTGTCTTTCAAGCTACTACCGCAGTGTGGCACTGTAGGGCATAGTCTGAGTAAGTCCATGTGCGGGCCCTTTAAGAGGCTGTGCTTGGAACTTCAGTAGCTCCTCTCACCTACTCAAACCCTGCTCAGGATGTACCTTTCTGGCACTGGAACCCTGGGCTGGGAGGCTTGGTGTTGAGCTGAGACCTCTCACTCCAGACATATCCCCTCCTGAATTTTTATTTACCACATGTGGGTGTAGGACGGGCCCATTCCGTGTCTGTGCATCTCCTACCAGTCCCAATGGATGTGGTTTCTTTCTGTAGTTGTGAGACTTCCATTCAGCTCAATTTCTGATGGTTCTGAGTGGTGGTGGTTCTATGGTTTAGTTGTAATTTTGATGGCTGCGCAAGGAGGTGAGCCATGTTTACCTACGCCTCCATCTTGACCAGAAGTCTGGATGCCTATCCGAGCCACTACATTCGATTCTGCTCACTTTACTCCCTTCCCTGTAGTAGGTCACCAACCTTCCCTCTGTGTTTTGGTGCTTAGTGTTGGTTTTCTTTGCTGAGGTTGGTTTTGTTTTTGTCTTGGCTGTGTCCTCCCTCCCCTCTGCTCTTCACACAATCCCGCAAATTCTCTTGTCCCACTGTGTGCTCATGAGCTTGTGGTGACAGCAGGGAGTCTGTTGGACGTGGCATGCACTTCTCTGCTTACATGTAATTTCCGGTTTGTGGTGCTGTGCTGGAAATGCTGAAGACCACAGGTTGTATCCGGCTTTGTTTGCAGTCTGTAGGGATTTCAGGTATTTTTGAGCAAAGCTGTGTGGAGAGATTCAGATTATGTGACGACTGTTGTCTTCCAGATTTGGCAACTCATTCCTAAGTACTTCAGAAGGAAGTTACCTCAGCAGAGTCCCCACTTCCGGGAAAGCAGTAGGGCTCCTGGCAATTTCCTTCATGTTTTAGGAAGTCATCACTCTATTCTTCTTCCTGTAAATAGAAATATGTGCTTGATTACAGAAATTCCTTTGGACTATAAAAGACTGAAAGACTTATATGTTCTGATGATGAGCAATTTATGTGAAATGAGTAGAGCTATATAATCCAAATTAATTTCCAGCATTTTAGATTCTTAGAAACCTGTGTTCACTTCTACTAACACAAGAAATTTAGCACACTGTTCCTCAAAATAAGTGTACACTTCACATAGCATGTGTGGAAATTAGACTTCATACACAGGGAAATCTTTTTTGTACATCCGTAAAAATGAAACAAAAGTTTCATAAGTCATAGGAAGTTTAAACCGATGATGAATGACTGTGATTCGCTGCATCATGAGATATTCATATGTTGTCACATTCATTATGGCTTTTCCATCTCTCTGATCAGCCTTAAAAGTCAGCTTAGCATCGTCTGCCTTCCTCTTCGCAGCACCGAATACATCTGAATAAGTTTTAGGTAGTTACTTACCCAGCAGACCCACTTTCGAGGCAGCTAGTATTTATTCGTGAACAAGGAGCTAAGTGCCCAGTGACTGTCCTCAGACTCGGCTCTGCTTCCTGTTCCCCAGACCTATCTCCCGCCTGGATTTCCCTTAGTGATGTTGTTGCAGACAAGCTCCTTTCATTATCCCACACCAGTTTGTGTCCCAGTCTCTCTTCCTCCCTCACTAGGGACTGCACTGCAGGTAGCATCCACCCCTGGGCTTAAGTGTGGATGGATGGGACTTTCAGGCTGTGGCCTGGCACAGATGTGCCCTTCAGGTGCTCCCCCAAAGCTTTCGCACACATCGAGGCTACACTTGTCTTTTTATCATATTATCTTTCCCAAGCAAAGCTTCTGTTATGTAATTTTTTTCTCTCTCCAGTGTACAGTGTTAGCTTACACCCAGTCAGTGACGATAAAGACATGGAATTAAATAAACACCTGATTCCATAAAGATCTTACCACCTTTTATAATGTTTGCTCATCCCTCTTTTTTAAATACGTGTATATTTTAATAAAACTAGTGTACACATCAGGTGCACATCACAATGATTTGATCGTATATAAATAGTGAAGTGATGACTGAAGTCCACCTTACTCATTGCCCAGTTCTCACAGAAGCCCGTGGGTTTTCAAACTGGACAGCACAGCGCCGCTCAGACACTTGCTGTGCAGTCGGGGTAGGAACAGGCAGGGCCTGGCGGGGTGTGGTCGGAGCTGGCGTGTTTGGGACCGTTCGTAGGTGTGGCTCAGGCGCTGACGTCCCCCCAGCACTGCCCGTCTCGCTTTCTTTCCACTTCTGCTGTTTCCGTTTTGAAGTTACGATCACTCTCACATTTCAGTGTTTTTTACTGAAGTTTGTGGGCGTACAGCACACGTTCGTGAAAGTGTACACGTTCTAAATGAGTGTGTAGCTCAGTCCATTTTAATATGAGCACATATTAAAATGCACCCAGGTCCAAAGGCAGAACACTGCCTGTCCTAAGAACCACCTGTTTTCCTCCCACGCCGTGACCTCGCTTTCTCAGAGGTGCTGCCGTCCTGAATATGTACCTGTGGATGACCTGTATCATCCGCAGGTACATACTCAATTTTTAAATTCTGGTTCCTGAAGGGGTCATTCCTTCTGGGGGGCTCTGTAGCATTTCACTGTATGAATGTGCCAGTTCACCCCTTTGGGGCTCTCACAAACAACAGTGGTGAACGTTCTTCGTGGCAGCCAGGAGCACAGTCTGGCCCTTTGGCTGCGTGGGGCTGGGAGGCGGGGGTGGGGCGCCGGGGGTGTTCACACTAAGCTTCTGTAGATACACCAGCTTTTCAATAACCATCGACTTTTTGTCTTCTATTTCAGAGCCCTTCCAGTGCTAGTAGATTCAGATGAGGTAAAATATATTTTCACTAACTTCCTTGGGGCTATTATTTTTCAAAGGGAGAAGTGCATTTCAGAAAGAAATTCTGAAAGTTACTTTCTAAAACAGTTGCAGATTGAGCAGGCTTAAAGACACTTGATTTGTGGGTAAAGTTTAAAGGAACTGATCTTCACGTAAAATAGGAGCCAGATAAATACTCGTTGGTGGACTGGGCTGGCCAAGAGGTCCATGTGGTTTTTTCCATAAGATAAAAGACATAACATTTTTCATTTTCACTGACAGCTGTACTGATTTGGCACTTTGAGTATGTTGGCTCTCTCCCACGTGGTACAGCGTTGATTGCTCTCAATTCTCCATTTGATCGCTGTCAACTCCCACCAGTCCACCCGACTGCGGAGCGTCATCCGGTGAGAATGCGCCAGCACAGCGCTTCACAGACCCCTTTGGACACATTCCATCAGTCACAGCACCTTCTCCGTACACCACACAGATCTTTTTTAGCATTTCAATTGCATTTTTACCCTTCTTGAAATAATAAAGTATAACATGGGGAAAATGTTACATATTTTCTTCCATCTTCAATATTAAAATGGCTACACAAAAATTCATCAATTTCATAAATTTTTTTCAAATGCACACTGATATGACAGCTGTCACAATACAATATAAACAAATTGTTTTGAATGAAGTTAAAGACAACTCAGTGCTACTAGAGCCATCTCATGGAAAAAATCAAACTTTCTGGCCAACCCAGTAAAAGAGGGAAGAACCATTCTATGAAGTTTTGAGCATCTCATGTGTGGGTAGAGTTTAGAAGATGGCTGCTTTGTCTAAATAATCTCATATCTGCCGATATTTTGCCGGGGTGTTAGAGTTTCTGGCTGATTTTCATTTACTGAGGACATTTGAATAGAGGATGCAGATATAAGGAAGGTTTTGGGGAGGGAATTAGTTATGGATCATCTGGACATTGGAAAGAGGCCCGAGATAGTCAGGAGTGTAAGAATTACTGAAAGGAGGGCTTCGGGAACATCAGCTTCTGTGAAGGACAGTCCAGGGCGGTCAGTGGTGCTGAGAGGTGACTTGCAAGGAGGGAGCCGCGTTGTGTTCCCTGGGAGGCAAGGGCAGCGGCTCTGGCATCGGCCTGGGCCCTGGCCGCTGTGGGGCGGGAGTTCCAAGAGGCTGCAGCGCACATGTGCCGGGGGAAGAGCAGCCAGGATTTATAACTGCCGTGAAATTGTTCTCAAAAGGGTCTTTATAGTATTCATTTGACAAATCACTGATTTATAACTTAAAAGGTCATTACTTGGTAAAGGGAAGCCCGTCTCCAGATAAACTCCTGTCCCTGCCACTCCCTGGTAACTGAGCTCAAGATGTACTCTAGCTAATAGGGTGTTAATGTTTCCTGAGCTGCTTAGCAGGTAATTAATTAACTGTATGGAAAGGTGGACCCCCCCAAAAAATCTGGAATTTATTTATTGAAAATCGTGTGTTCTTACATGTTTAAACTTTAGTCACCTTCAAAGTGCTTTCCATTTGATGCAGTACATCTATCAAAACATTTTCCACTGCTTGAAACAGTTTTTGAACTTGTTGATTTTGATGCCTCTTAGTGCTTCTGCCATCTTTTGTTTCACCTCTTCCACATCCGCAAAACATTTCCCTTTGAGGACTTTTTTCATTTGAAGGAGGCAAAGGTCGCTTGTGGCAAGATTGGGTGAATAGGGAAGATGGGGCACAAGGGTCATGCCGTTTTTGGTCAAAAACTGCTGACCACTCAGTGTGATGTGGGCAGGTGTGCTCAAAGTCACCCATCATGAAATGAGCAAAAACACTGAGAGTCTTCAAAACAAGTTTACTGAGGCCGAATACAGCCTCTCACAACAGTGCCAGCTGGTACCCTGATCCAGATGGGTCCCTAGAACACTCACCTAGTGGGGGAAGCCTGTACTACAGGGGCCCACCCTCCAGAAGATATTTGTGGTTTTTTGGGGTCCCCCCTTGTATACACTAGGAAGTATGGGTTGTATGGTTTTATTTTCTGTATCTAATACTTCTTTGCATACTGTGGAATATACTTAGTTCCCCACAAAAATCATGACTGTTGAAGGATTAGAGAATTATATTAGGTTCTGGGAGAATCATCCACACTTTTGATGAGTATCTTTCTTTCTTTCTTTCTTTGTTTTTAGGAAATCATGACCAGATCTGAAATGGCAGAAAAAATGTTCTCTTCAGAAAAAATAATGTGATTGGAACCATATGCATGAAACCTAGTTATCAGTGAAGGACTCCCCAAGGCTCAAAGAAGTCACGCAAGAAGTTCTTAATACATCATTATCTTGAAATCTGTGTATTAAAATTAGGAATTCAAGTGGTGGGTGGGTTCTACACCTTTTTTAAGCAGCTCTCGAATGCCAGTTCCTGCCCTTTAAATTGCTTGGACTTAGAAATAATGTGAGAAAAGTATTATGGTCAATATATGCCCAAATGACCGGAGCTAGTGAGTGGCAGACACGTGGATTGGGTTGTATCTTTTTCCTGGAAAATATGGCACTTCCAGATTTAAACTGTTTTCGTTTGTTTGTTCTTAACATAAACACTTCTACTGTTCTTCCAATGACCTTAGAGGTAGATGAAGCGCGGTCAGACACTTGCCTCCATCTCCTGGGTTTTTAGTTAGCTGGGTGCAATAAGAATTTCCTTTAACTTTGTACTGAAACAGTTTGGTAGTAAGTGACATTTGGTTTACATTGGAACATAGGACATTTACATGGGCTGTCGTGTGAGTGCACATGTTTGCACAAGGACTTGGTTTCATTATTACCGTGGTGCACGTCACGTCACGTCACATCATGGACATCTTCTCTCCTGGAGCTCAGTGGACAAGTATATGGAGAGAGAGGTCTTAAGGGTCACTTCCAAAGATTCGCTCTGCCCCTGTCCCCTCACTCAGGCTGTATGTGCATGTGCTGCTGCTGAACCTGCCTGGGGCAGGCGGGGGACCCCTGGCCGCGTGGCTCCCCACAGCGCCCCCTCCCGGGTTACCCTGGAGGAAACTGGGACCTTTCTCATATGTAACCTTGGCATACTTGATTCCTAATATCACATATGTTTAACTGTACAGTACATCACTGTTAATCTTGTAACTAATTTCTTAACCTTTAACCATGGGTTATACATTATTTTGTTATATCGCAATGTGTGATTTGAAATTTTTTGTTTTAATTATTTTTAATGAAGAACATTCTAAACTTGAAAGGCCATTGAAAGTAGTGTGATGGGAATGTGCCGTTTGCTGCTTTAGTGACCAGAGATGCGGGGCTGGTGGGCATTTAGAGCAGAATGAAGTCAGGATTGCGTGTGTCTTTCTTGGAAGGAGTTCTAACCTTGTAAATCAAGACCGACTCCAGGGAATTATCTTTGAGAAGCACTGAAGTCCTCACCAGTATAAACACTTAAATACAACTTTTCTGGGTTTTTATTTCATTGTGAAGCCACGAAAGATTTTTTTCAAAAAATTTTCTTTGGAATTTACTATTTCACAAGGGCTAGTAAAAAATATTTATTTACAATAGTAATGTCTCTTGAAAGATACTTTCCAATTTATTTTCAGTGGTGACTTAAACAGTGTTGTACTGAACGGGACAGTGTCCCGTTCAGTAAACTGGTCAAGGTGCCATGAGTTTGGGTGTCCCTCCTGGAGGGGTGCCCGCATTCCTGGTGCAGGTTCCAGTCCTGTCTCAGGATCCCGCTGTCCTGGGCTCCCACCTCGTGCATTTCCCGACATCCATGTTCTCTCTGGCTTTGGTGTATTTCACCCCCAACCCGAGTTGTTTCAGGTCAGGAGGTGACCACTGCCCTCTCATCCCTCAAATTTCTATCTAATACCACTGCCTGGATTTCGAGGCAGATTCACCCCAGCTCCTGTAGCTGAATTTTGAATGTAGAATCCTGGGCGCCTGGCCAGCAGGAGCTGCCGGCTACTGGGGTGAGAGTGGGGGCTGATGGTCAGAGTGGGACAGCAGACTGCCTCGGACCTAACACTGCGTCCTGTAGCCGGCAAAATTATTGCTGGAACCTAGGTGGCTTAGCTGCAGGCTGAAGTTCAGGCTTCCCTCATCATCCAGATGCTGTTTTCAAAGGGCCCGCACTGTATCTGTCACTGTCCGTGAGTGGTCATTGTGTCCTCTGCTAATATCCTGTGACCAGAATCAAAGATTTTTGGCCAGGGGCTTCTGAGCCGCCTCATATGAACAGGAGGGGGCGCCCCAGGGCTGCTTGTTCATAGAAAGGACACAGGGCGAAGTAGCCTCCAGGGCCACTGTGAAGCTGTCGTCCTGCTTCTGCATGAAGGTTCCAGAAATCGCTCATCAGTGTCAGATTAGTTTATTCTTATGATGCCATCCAGATGGGTCTTCCAATATATTAATGAAGAGATCTGAGAATAATAGACCAGTTTTATGTTTTTCTTGGCAGAAGGCTTAGAAAAGCATTTTGCAGTTCATGTTAGATTTGCATGATGTGTGAAATTTGCTTAAAAGGGAATTTTCACTATTTGGGCTAGATTAGTATTAGTATCTACTTTAAAAGATAATTAAGTTTGTTTATTTCCAAAATAAGAAAAAGATGAATATGTGAATTTTTAAGGCTGAGAGATGATGTTTCCATATTTTTCTGTAAAGAAAATAATTTTTTAAATCTTTCCTATCCTGTAGAGCAGACCAGCTTTACCCCTGTAATATGGTACATTATGTTTGCACTACTAGAATGTCAAGGCTGAAAGTATAAAAATGTACATATATGGTTAACTTTTTATATCCTCTTTTAAAAAGGGGTTTGAGTCTGTTGCACTAAGCTGCACATGACTGGTTTAATGTTGAGCTCTCACGCTGTTTACAAGTCCCCGCTGTTGGCACTTGTGTCTTTGTACGACCAACAGCGTGTGGCCGGCAGCACAAAACTCCAGCCTCGTACTGGCAGGTGAAGTTCCAAACATACCAGCTGTGTAAATGGCAAACAGGACTTTCGAGAAAGTGTACATTGTAATCCTGGAGCTCACCACACACTAAGAAACTTAAGAAATAGGAAAACATGTATTTGGGAAGAAAGTTTAGGGACTTAAGTAGTTATATTTTTCTATTTAAAAAAGTTAAATTATTGTATAAGGAGGAAGTTGTTTTGAATGTAGGACAAAGCTATTTCAAAGATTTTTGTTTGAGAAAATGATGTATTTTGTGCCTTAATATTTGTTCTGACTTTTAATAAATTGCTTTCTGAAATTTTTGATTATTGATTCTTGATAATATCTATTAGTGCTGGATTGTGTAAATCCACAGAAAATGTAGACTCCAATTTATGGCAGGACATAAAATTTTTAAGAGGAGGTACAGCTAATTAGCAAACATGTGAAAGTGTTCTACTTCAGTGGTGATCAAAGAAATGCAAAATAAAAGATTGGGAAATTTTTTAAAATCCAGTCAACCTAAATGTATACCATTGCATATTTATAAAATCCTTTTGCTTTCAAAGTCTGACCAAGTGAGCACATTAATGATGGCAGTGTGTATATAACCTGGGAATAATGCCAACTCTGATGGTGGTTTTTAAAGTAATTCAAAATACAGGATAAGGCTTCTGCACAAAAATGTTCATTATGGCATTATTTAGAGACAAAATTAGAAAACAGATGTCAACAATAGAGTAGAAAGTGACCTCCAATTTAACCAGCTACACATGGAACACTGCTGCAACTATTAAATTATTACAAAGAATGTGTAACACAAAAATACTTGTACGAAATACAGTACAGCCACACATGTGAGCCATTTTCCATGTAATAGGAAGGACTGAGTGGAAATACCTCACAGTGGCACCTGTGGTCAGTGTTTCAGTTCAGCTCGGCTGTGGTCACAGCATTTCGGTAGTTAAGACCAAAAAGGGTGTTTCTTAATTATGTAGCAGTTCTAGGGTGGGCGTAGAGCCCCTCGGGGGACCCGCGGTTGACTTCTGTCTGTGGGCCGCCATCTCCAGGGCCTGCCATCTGCCATCCTCCAGCAGATGGGGACAGTTCCTCAGCCTGGGCGGTGTTGCAGGGCGGGGCCTGTCAGCGGTGCACATCACTCCACCGCGTATTCTGTTGGCAGAAGCTTAGCCAGCTTTTTGGCTGCAGCAGGCTGCCAGTCACTGGGGATTCAGCAGCTCCGTGCTTGCCTGCTGTTCCAGTGCCGTGGAAGGAACAGATGGGTTTGGGTGGACAACCAAGAGCTTCTGCCGCAGGTTTTTTTGGGGCAACAGACTAAGGGAGACTTAAAAGCCTGTTCCTTCCCAATTTTTCAGTTAAACACTGAGAAATAATTATGTAAACAGTGATAGTGCCATAACTGGGCTATGTGATCTCAGAAACTCCAGAAGTAAGTGTTGTTTCAGGCCACAGCTTAATCCTTTAGTGAATGAAACCCATCCTGTCCCAAGTGGGTGGAAATGCTGCCAGCCTTGGGGACAGCCAAGGTGGGTGTTTCCAGGGGAAAAGCAGGTTGGAATAGCAGGGACCGTAATTTAGGGAGTGTGGGGGTGCATAGGGCCAGGCTTTCCTAACCATTGTCTCATTGTGCCGTGGCTGGTCAGCCAGTGAGTTTATAGGTAAGAAAACAGTGTTCAGTAACTTGCCCAAGAGCACCCTCCTGGTGAGTGACAGGCTGGTGGAATACCGCCGCGAAGCATCCTTGAGTTCTCAAAGTCCTGGGGGGAAGTTTCGTTTAATAAATAGATGTGTGTGTTTGGTAGAGAATCAAGTGACATAATGTGTATCAAGTGCTTGGTGCACAGGCCTTCGAAAGACAGTCAAGGTCATTGTGAAAAGTGCAGCAGACATTGTCAGACTCAGCTGAAACGTGCATCCATGTAAAATTCAAGCACATTCTAAGATTTGTTTATACATGTTCTGTGCCCCTTAAGTGATACTGAATTTACACCTAAATTTCTACTAACACAAGCTGACAGGGTACTCAATTTAGATGTAAAGATTGACAGTGTTTCCTTTAACATTGTTTTGTGAAAAGTAAAGAAAGGCTACATACAGAAAATATTTTAAAAGTTCTCCAGCAGATGGTGCCAAAGGGGCATTTCTGAAGGGATCTAACTCACAATTTTGGTCTCTAATTCTTCTATTAAAAAAAAACACCTTATAAATCTACATTTACTTACTAAAATGCCATTAGACAAATTTAAAGTTGAAATAAAGTCCAAAATGTACACGCAGAGTGCCACCAACCTGGTAAAACATTGCCAGTCTCCCTGAGAATTTGAACTTGAAAGCTGGAAGGGGCCTCCGAGATCTCACAGAGGAGAAAGTGGCAAAGCACAAACCTTCTTTGGCTGAGTCCCTTGAGCCAGAGGTGAAGCCTGTCTCCTAGGTTGCTCTCCTCACCTCTGGGTCCTTGAGGGCTGGCTGAACTGTACATCACAGCTTGAAATATACTTTATATGCTTTAATTAGTCCTTACTACATCATTTTATGTGACTTTGTCATCTTTCAGTCTAGCCTCCAAATTCTTGTTTCTCCATAAATAATCCTACTTCTGATTCTCTACTACTTAATTTAATAAGTGGAGGTTTCTTGGGGGCAGAGTAGAGTCCAGAAAGTTAGGGACAGTGTCTATTTTTAACACTACGAGCATAATAAAAATGAAATATTCTATTCTACATATTTTATCTTCCCTTAAAACAACAACAACAAAAAACCTGGGCACTACTGTATCTGCTCCCGAAGAGTTATTTTAGACATTTAAGGGGAGAATAGACAAGCTGGCCTTTTCAGTAACTGTGGGCTTGCTTTTTAAATAATGAACTTACTATTATCAAATGCATTTGTGGGTTTCAAGTTCTGGTAATGAAGAAGTACCTTCTCTTGGACCAACCTGCCCCACAGACTGGACAATTAAAATAACAACTACTTAAAGATAGGAGAGAGAGAAATGAAAAGCAGGAAGACACTGGAAGGCACTCAACACTTGGGTGAGGGAAACAGCACTCTGAATCTCCCATTTTTATGACTTTTTAACTGATAGGCCAGAGTTTGTGTCAAATGGGGAAATTAAACCCAGATATAAAACCTTCTATTTTATTAAACTTGAAGACAGGTTTAAAGAACCACGGTGGCTGGAAAGTGAAAGAAAAGCGGAATTCCTGAATGAGAGAACCAGGGAAAAAAGGCACCACAGCTGTGTATAAACCTCCCAGTTCACCGGACCATGTGTATGTGGTGCAGACTCCACTCTCCCTTCTAAAGCAGAAAACGGGGAGCTAAGATTTCTGCTAACAGGAGAAGAAGTTTAGCTTGAATCCAGCCATGTAAACTTCCTGCTTAAAAATTATTTGGAGGTTACATCAGAAAATGGGCAGCAGGGGGGAGACTAAGGACCCCTGAAAGCTTGTCCCTCCATAAAAATGATGAAAAACTCATTAAAACTTTCAGCATTAACCTATTCAGAGCTCTGGAAATGAACCAGTCTTGCAACAACCTAAGAAGCATTTACTCAAGAAAAATGCCTGCATTTAGGTAAGAGCACCAAACTTGGTTTTAATTTGTCCTACTCCCCTTCCTGGAACTTTCAAACTTAAGAGCCCACATTCCCAATACTGAAGGGAACGGAATGGAGCTGGAGAGCTTTCAAAGCCTCAATTCCAAGGAAACTGCCTAGTGCTTCCTTGGAAACCCCACTAAAAGCATTGACCTTTATTTGATGTCAGCTGAGAGCTTGCAGAGTACCAAAACCCTCTTCCTTGGTGAGGTTTGTTAAAAACATTTGCAGTCAAGTGTTTCAATGTTGAGATGCCTGAGGCAATAAATAAAAATAGAGACAAACAATAAACCAACAACAACAAAAAAACCTTAAAAGGAAAACACTAAAGAAAGTGATGACTTAGAGACATTGAAAAGCACTAGTACACTTCTAGGAATCTAAAAAGCCACGAGCATGCAGAGAGCTCTGCGCTCACTCAGCAAAGGCAGCAAAAAGCAGGAGGTGAAGGCTAAGGTAGAGTTGCAACCCGAGCTGGATGAGTGCCATAGGTGTGCCCCGCCCTGCACACACATGAACGTTGACCAATACCAGGAGATCTGTTGGTTCCAAGAGTTTAAGGAAATAGATAATTAGATGACCACTAGAAAACTGAGTCAAGACTGAGTAACCATGTATTACAAACCATACAAAATTATTTCAGGTAAATCAATAATTATCAATGAGCAGCAACAACAAAAAGCCCTGGGGAAGGGAAGGGATCTGATTTCAATAGCTTTCATGTTACATTTCTTAAAATATCCAGTTTTCACCCCCAAAAAAGATACAAAGAAATAAGTATGGTTTAAACACAGGAGAAAATCAATATACAATGTTGTTGAGAAAGCCCAGATGTTGGACGTGTTAAACAAGAACTTTTCAATCACTTTAAATGTATTCAATGAGCTAAAGAAAACCATGACTGAAGAACTAGAGTGAAGTATGAAAACAAAGTCTTACCAAATAAGGGATATTAGTAAAGAGAGAGCAATTACAAAAATGAACCAAATGGAAAGTATATGGAAATACCTTTCTTTTGAAAAGTACAATAACAAATGAAAAAAAAAAAACACTACAGAGTCCCAACAACAATTTTAACAGGTAGAATAAAGAACAAGTGAACTTGAATAAAGGTCAATTTAGATTACTCAGTCTGGGAAGTGAAAAGTAAATGGAGTGAAGAAAAATGAACAGAGCCTCAGAGATACTTTGAAACACCATTAACCTACAACACATGCATTTGTAGGGGAAAAGAGGGAAGAAAGAGGCAGAAACAATAGTTGAAGATGTAATGACTCCAAACTCCCCAAATTTGACTTTTTAAAAAAAACCTTTACACATCCTGAAAGGTTAACAAACTCCAAGTTGGATAAACTCATAGAGATCCACTGAAACACATCATAATTATACTGTCACACATAAAATTCTCAAACATAAAGAGAATTGTTAAAGAATGAGGGAGAAGTGACATCACATAAAAGAGATACTCAATAAGATTAAAAGCTGTTTTCTTATCAGAAACCTTGGTGGAAAAGGCAATGGGATGATGTATTCAAAGTACTGAAGGAGGTGGGGGTGTCTTTTGGGAACTGCCCTGACTGGTCTCAGAAACTGTAATTCCCCCATGGCTAAGGCTAAGCAAAGGATCTTGGGACCATAAGCCACTTAGGAAACAAAGCTTATCATCCTTGCAGGGGCACTACCTCT